AGTGCTTAAGGTCCCGCAGGTCAGGCAGCTCACCCACCTGGCATAAATCAGACCTTTCAGGAACCAGTCATGTGTCTGTTGTTAAGAACTGAGTCCAGTTGCGGGTTATTTCGGCAAATCATGTTTGAGTCTTACGGTGAAGAATAATGCAGGTATTTATTGAAATGGAGAGGCGTTCATGCTATAGTATCAAGTGGAAAAGCTTACCCACCATAGGACCCAACTGGTTATGTTCAGCGGCTTACAAAAACATGGTGACGGTAACACTTTCTCAAGGGGTTAGGTGTGTAGTTCTTGCTTGCCTGCATTTTCTATTTCTGTGCTAAATATATAACCTGTGTATTAAAGGAAGAATACAAGTTCAAAATAAAATTTAAAAATTCAGTTATGGGGGGCTATATTATTAATATCTCAGACCTATGAGACAAGGATTTGAAACCAGGTGGGTATATCTAAGTCAATAAATGAATGTGGTTAGAAAAGAAAGGAACAGATTTATTTAGACTTATCAGCTGTTTCAATAATCTACCAACCCAGGTATGCTATTTAGTTTTGTAATTTTTTTTTTCTCTCTCATCCATCTCCTAAGTTCATCACGGGGATGTGAGAAATTCCTTCATTGCCGTATGACAGTGTGGCAGATACAGTCACCAAACTATTAATTAAGGGGACGTACATTCTTCAGATAGCACCCAGCACCCTGGCCGGGTTGGAACACGACTGCTAGTATTGTTCAGTGGGGAAGGTGTCAACACTTGCCACACAAGCAATAGTTTTGTTTTGTTTTTCGTTTTGTTTTTCTTAAGATTTTTAAATTGATTTTTAGAGAGAGAGAGGAAGGGTGAGGGGGAGAGAGAGGGAGAAGCATTGATGTGAGAGAGAGACATCCATCAGTTGCCTCCTGAACGCTCCCTACTGGGGACCAAGCCTGCAACCCGGGCATGTGCCCTGACAGGGAATCAAACCAGCAACTGTTTGGTGCATGCCCCCCCCACCCCCCCCCCCGCCCCAGGCACATACAGGCATATATATGTGGCATATATAACAGGCATCCTGTTATATAACAGGATGACGCCCGAACAACCGAGTCACACCCGCCAGGGCGATTCTTTCCAGCTTTACTGAAAAATAACTGGCACAAGCGATAGTTGGTGGGAAAATTATTTAACGGTTAACTTCAGCAGTGAAAGTTTACCCTTTCTAAAATGAGGAAAATCATCTTTGCCTAAGGGACTTCTTTATCATACTGTAATTTAACAAAAGATGGTACTATTAAATTAAAAAAATTCAAACTACTTAATTTTGATATTTATTTTTAAAATTTTATTTGATTTTAGAGAAAAGAAGGGAGAGAGAAACACTGATTTGTTGTTCCACATTCATGTACCCGCCGGTTGACTCCTATATGTGCCCTGACCCGGAGATATTTAAATTCTAATTTTAGGCAGGCAGGACAAGAAGTGACTGAGATTATTTTAAAAGCTGCTGTTATTTTTTCTTTCTTTTCCTTTGGGAACATTTGGGAACACATACCTTAGCATTTAGTCAAAAAGAGATTGCACCTTTTTTCCTATTAGACACGGATTTTTTCCCCTGATTCTGGGCTGCCTACGTGTGGAGTGTAACACACTTACTATATATAAACTTTTTTCTCTAAGGAATTTTATAGTATTCTCTATCCATTAAGTGCATTATTATATGCAAATGAGATACTATAAGCGAAAATATTTAAAGTGTTTGGCACACAGTGTTGCTATTGATCTTTATATTTTTCCTGTATGAACCATAACACAAAAAATGCATTTAAGCCCTACCTAGCTGGTTTGGCTCAATAGCTAGAACATTGGCCTGCGGACTGAAGGGTCCTGGGTTCCATTCTGGTCAAGGGCCCATGCCCAGGTTGTGGGCTTGATCCCCAGTAGGGAGCTGTGCAGGAGACAGCCGATTACACACACTCTCTCTCTCTCTCTCTCATCATTGATGTTTCTATCAATAAAAATATATTAAATGAAAAAGAAGTGCATTTGATTCTTCTATGCATAGGTTACTTTCCTCAGTTTAAGAAAAGTTGACAGTGTATAATTTAGGAGTTATTTATTAATGGTTTTATTTTTTTACTGGAGGACCGGTGCATGAAATTTGTGCTCGGGTACAGTCCCTAGGCCTAGCTTGAGATCAGGGCCATCTTCCCCAGCTGCCCGAGCCGGCCCCGCCCCCCACCCCCAGTTCCCTGTTTGCCATCGGGTGATCGGTGCCGGCTGGGGGGAAGGGACCAAGAGGTGGTCAGTGTGCCTCATAGTGACTGGTCCAGTGGTTGGTCTGCCGTTAGGGTCAATTTGCATATTATCCTTTTATTATATAGGATTTTATTTTTTTTAACCTCACCCTAGGATATTTTTCCATTGATTTTTAGAGAGAGTGGAAGAGAGAGGGAAGGATAGAGAGAAACATGGATGTGTGAGAAACATATCAATTGGTTGCCTCCTGCATGAGCCCCAACCAGACGGCCAGACCCCAGGCGGAGGAGGAGCCTGCAACCTGCAACTGGACGTGCCCCTTGACTGGGATCCAACCCGGGGGACCCTTCGGTCCGCAGGCCAACGCTCTACCCACTGGGCAAAACCGGCTAGGATTATTTATTTATTTTAAAAGTAAGCAAGAA